AGCTACTGGGCACGAGTCTACAGGAATATAAGCCCACCTCTACACAAGTTTTTGACAATATTGTAAGATGGCTTTCTCCCTAAGAGTACTGACTGTAAATACTGTTTTTAGCTCTCTCTATTCAAAAGAGAAGAAACTGCCCTTAATCTTAGGCAGTGAATTTCTAATTTACTTTGTTCCTACCCTTGAATCACTAGGTATGAGCACCTTGTTTAGATTTTTCTTAATTCAAAGGGCTTTTGAGGGGTAGGGAGGAGGCTGGGGGTAATTCTTATAAAAGTATTTAAACAAGAAATCAAATAGATGACATTAACAAAACTGGGAGCCAGCTGTTGATTTGAAGATGTCTCTTAACAGCAAGCAGGGGGCTAGGAAAATACATATTAGGCCCTTATGTCCTTATCATCCATAGAAATCAACATTAACTAATAACTAATGTTCGTTGGATGCTTGCTTTCAGGAACCTTTGGCTGGTTACAGACATAGAAAAGCCTGGGGTGTATACACAAGAAATGGTAATGGTGGCCCCCTTCTGAGAAGGGGGGCTGCATGGCCAGAGGAGTAGGGGAAAGCCTTCTAACTGCTTGTATTCCTGTGCTGTGTACCTGTTCTATAGACTCAGGAAGGTGTATAATACTTTTAATTATTTTCTTCTTTTCTGGATTCATGGGCAGGGGGGTTGGGCCAGGGAAGAGGGAGAGAAACATCAATCATTGGCCTCTTACATGCACCCTGACTGGGGACCAGACCCATAACCTTCAGTCCGTAGGACAACGCCCAATCAACTGAATCACACCAGCCAGGGCAAAAAGTGTTTAATTTTAAGGAAAAGGAAGGGGGGGGAGGCAACAGAAGAATCTTTGTAAATTATTTTGAGAATGCTAACATACATGAATGTGTTATTCTACCTCCAAATGAACAAAGCCTTGGAAAATGGACTCTGTGAGCAAATACATAGAAGACACACCCATCTGGGGAAAGGGGCAGATGATAGAATTCCCAAGATTATTAGAAATGTCATGAAGACAATTATAATCTTAACTCAGAATATTCTATATCTTTCCGTGTAAACTCTTAACTTGGGTTCCTCCTAGTTACTAATCATAGAACAAAGGACCATTTTTGTGCAGCATTTTCCCATACATAGCGTCACTATTTTATTTATAAGCCTATTTAATTCGGCCCAAGTAAGTAAACTTGAGTCTTACTCTGGCAGATATGTCACTCTTTGTAAGTTGTTTGTAACAAAGCATCCTTATGAACATACCACATTCTCATAACAAAGGTAGGTGGATAAGTTGGATACCTACCTTGCAGTGAGGTGCTGCTTTTGGATGTCTTCAAACTTCTTTGTTAGCTGTGGGTGGGCACTCAGAATGCCTGGTGTCATCCATTGGAGAGTGGGTTTTCCTTTATCCTGAGCTACAGTTTGACAGGGATGGCAACATGTCCAAATATTTGTGTATTTGTTTTGCTGAGATACTGAGCTGCTTATCCAGGAAGTAGAGAAAACCAGCCATGGCTACCTGCTGGGCATGTCTCTGCTCCAAAGTGAAGTAGAATTAATTTGGGAAGTTCAGAAAGAACTGCTGGCTTTTGGCCCGCAGACTTTATGAAATGACTAGAAAAACAAGATGTCTCTTTAGCAATCAGATTTCCATAAGGTAGAGATTTGGCCTTGAATGCACATTAAATTGTATCAGAAGTGACTTCTAAGTCTGCTCTTAGCTAAGTGTTATACAAATTATTGGATGGCAGAGAGTGCTGAAAATACCATAGTCATGCTCATAAGTAGTAGGGGTTCCATCTTGAAAGTGAGATAGCTGATAAGTTTTTCTCAGTGAAATAACATTTCTCTTCTGGCCTCAATTTTGGTTCTTCATATAGAATATTTTGGGATTTTAAGTTCTGGTAACTTACAAGGTTCTGAATTTCTAGGAGTTACTGTTCTGGTAGTCTTCACCCTTTTTGTTTGTTTCATTTTTCATAGTTTAATAAATGTAACATGATATAACATTTGGATTAGTTGACTTTATGATTGTGGTTTACAAATGGTAGTGTTATAGAATAACAGCCTATATTAGAAAAGCAGGTTTGCATGTTTTTTAATTTTTCATGCTTTTGTGGGGTTTTTTGCCTTTGTTTTTGGTTTTTAGAACTACTTTGTCCTAGAATATTGATTCATATTACTAAATTGATGATAAATTGTTACTGTATTTTATAAAGAAACATTTATTATCTCATTGGAAGATATTCTCAACCACCCAAGTTGTATTGATTTTATTATCTTAACCTTTGTTTTTAAGGAACTTGGGGGAGTGGATCTAAATTTTCTTTTGATGTTATGTCATTTAAATAATTTTTCAATCCCCTCACACACATGTAGGCTTCCCCTAAGTCATACAACCGTTACCGTTATTTGCTCTGGTGCTGAGTGCCCAGCTTTTCCCCATCTCGGCTTTCACTCCATGACTACAACTGAGTGCTTCTGTCCAGGTACAGATGGTTCTGGCTGAGAGGCAAGTTATACACAATTATTAGTGTCTTTTGTTCAAGTAGTATGCAGAAACTTTTAAGAATGTTTCTTTCAGAATACCATAGGACAGTTCCTAGACAACAACAGCTTTTTTCCCCGGCACTCAAAATTACTCAAAATTATGTGGTAATGATGCTGAAATGGTGAGCATTTTCTATTTTCAGAGGTTCAACATCACAAGGGGAAAAGGCACTCACACTTGGTTTTAAAATAATCCATTGGTATTATTAACCTAATTCTCACCTTTGGAAGTCCATCACCAAAAGTTTAATCAGAATTGTGCCAGGTTAGACTCATAGTTAATCTACAACGAAAAAGTGTCTTAACAATAGAAAAAATCAGAGCACTTACTTTGCCTGCCTGCTTTTTTTTTTTTTTTTTTTGTCGTCAGACTGGGCCAGGGTTTTTGATCCTACCATCAGTGGAATTAGTAAATATTACAAGTTGTACATGTTTTTGACTTGACTTAAATTTTTTTTTCCAATAGAAACTATGTTCCAACTTCCTGTCAACAATCTTGGCAGTTTAAGAAAAGCCCGGAAAACTGTGAAAAAAATACTTAGTGACATTGGGTTGGAATACTGTAAAGAACACATAGAAGTAAGTAGCATGCCATTTTTTAATTTTAACATGACTCAGCTTCTGATCCATTACTTTGTGTCAGCGGCCAGGATGGTGAACTTAGGTATGATTCTGATTTTGAACCTCAGCTTTAGCTTCACCAGAGCTTTCTCAGTTAGCCTAACTTACTCCCTTCTCACTAAAATGGGCTTTTCATCTTTGCATCCTGAGGCAAAAGCAGTTATCATTGAGAGCATACACATGTCAGACATTTCACTAGGTGCTTTAAAATTGTCTCTAATTCAAATCCTTAAAACAACCCCTAGAGGGATGTAGAAATCTTATCTCCAGTTTACAAATGAAGAAGCTGTAAGGAAACAGGTCCACCTCACAGTCAGTCCTGCGGCAGGCAGGGTCTGTCTTTGGGACTCCAGAGCCTGCTCCCATTCTGATACACCTGAGTGTTCTGGTTGACCTTCTGATTGTTGAGGCTTGGTGGTTTGGGTGCTTTTGTTGTCTCTCTCTATAGGATGTGAGCATTTGTTAGCCCTTTTGACCCATCATAGACTATTGTCTTCCCTTTGTGTAGCAGTTTGGACTTTACAAACTGTTTTTCTAGCCTTTTATTCTGTGAACTTTATGTGTAACACCCCTGTGGGATAGCCAGTGCATTGGTTCCTCCTTTTCCAGATCTCGTTGCTCCAGGTCTTACAGTTAGTTGGTCAGCAAAGCCTCTGATTGAAAAGAAATGTTTGAAGACATTTTCCCCTCTAGGCTTTAAGTTCCAGCTGGTCAGGGACCAGGACTACCTTGTCCATCCATGTATCCCCAGCACCTAGCACAGTGCTAGGTACAGAGTAAGCACTCAGTAAGTGTTTGGATGGAATTGAAAATAAAAAAGCAATTTCCTTTATTCAACAGGTTTTCTTTTCCTGATTCCCACCAACAGTCTAGGGATTTGTCGTGGAGACTAAAGCTGCTCTAGTTATGTTGTCCCCAGCACAGGAGGTCACTTCCTTTCCCACCCCTCGAGTTCAGGTAGATCTGCCTGATGACAGTCCGTTCACATCACACTTAGTGGGGTCATCTTCCTGAGAACAAATAGTGAAAATACTCAGGTACCTTTTCTATCCTGCATTTGATTTTTTTCTCCTCCCATTATTAACACCAATTACATGTCCTGGAATTTATATGTACTTGATTTTCCCACACTGGATTGTGAACCTCTTAGGGCCAAGGGGAATTATACCCTAATACTTTTTATCTTCCTAGCCTGGGGGAAGCAGGCCATTAAATTTTTACATAAGAGTATAAAATTTAACTATTGCCTTTGAAAATCTTCCTTTCATCCTTTTAGGGTTCAGAAATCTTTTGAGTTTTCTTCCCCATCCAGTCTTCCCTACCCCACCCCCAATATCAAGAGTATCACATCTGTAGCACTATAGTGAACATTACACTCCATTCTAATACTACCACTGAGAAGTTACAATACTCTAATGAAGGGTACTTTGGTATTAAAATTTGGCTAAATTTTTTTTTAATGAGAATTTTAGCATTTTTCTTGGAAACCTGTCAGACCATTAGGGGAATGTTGAGGTGATAAAATGTTCAGTACAACTTCCATATGCCTTTTGTATTTCCTAAGAGCTTTGTGACTCCTGGTTTAGTTCTCAGCCGGGTTAACTTTCCAGTATATCACTCCAACCCTAGTTAAGAGAAAGGATGTATAAAATAAGATTGAGGTAGAGTTGATACCACTATGTTTTTGTAAACTTCTTTCACTGTTTTCTAGGATTTTAAACAGTTTGAACCTAATGACTTTTATTTGAAAAACACTACATGGGAGGATGTAGGACTGTGGGACCCTTCACTTACAAAAAATCAGGTAAGTGGCACAGGTATACATCTTTCAGCTGTAGACCTTCCATAGTGATGAATTATTTGTAGGGGACCTAAAGTGGGAGATGTCAAAATGATTCCAGTCATGTGCCCCATAATGACATTTTTGTCAGTAATGGACTGAACAGTGGTGATCCCGTTAAGATGATGACAGAACTGAAAAATACCTGTTGCCTAGTGATGTTGAAGTTGTCAGATAGGAGTGTGACGCATTGCTCACATGTTAGTGGTGATGCTGGTATACACAGACTGCTGCTGATCATACAGAAGTATAACACTGTTACGTAGGGTACATAGGATCTGATAATGATAATAAATTGTTACTGGTTTATGTTTACTCTTCTACTTCTTCATTGTTATTTGAGAATATATTCTTTCTACTTAACATTTTTTTTAAAGTTTGCTGTAAAACTGTATGTTTTGTTATGCCAAAAACGGCTTCGTTCATCTATTTACCACGTTTCAGTTGCATTATTATTCTTGTGCTTGATTTAATCTTGTTTATTTTGTTCATCATTGACCCCTGAGCAACCAAATCCACTGCTAATGTTGACAGTGAGAAGCCATGTCAAGATATTGACCTGGAAATGAAATTAGAGTGATTAAGGACTACAGAGCTGGAAAACCAGTGGTGGTTATTGCTCAGCAGTCAGGCAGGTCCCATTCCACCATAGCTATAGTCTTGAAGAATAAGAACAAAGTGACAGAAGCTGTTGAAGAAACTGCTTCATTAAAGGCAACGAGATTAACAAAGATTTTGTGAAGGGCCTATATCAGGTGTGGAGAAATTTATAATGACCTGGATTGAAAGCCAGACACAGAAGCCTGTATCTCTCCACACCTTGACAGTCACGGCCAAGGCAAAATGTTTGTGATGCTGAAAGAAAACACTAGACCCAACTACGATGTTGCATGTACTGCAAGCTCTGGGTGGTTTAAAGGATTCAAGAATGAATCATTATTCATTACAGAATGTGAAAGTGAGTGGTAAGTCTGCTAGTACAGATGTGAGGGCAGCTGAAGAATTTTTGGAGACTCTAGGTTAGCTGATTGTAGAGGAAAATGACTTGCCAGTACAAATATTCTATGTGGATGAAACCTCCCCACCCTGGAAAAGGATGACTGGAAGGACTTTAATCCATAAGGCCAATCAGTATCAGGTTTCAAGGCTTCTAAGGACAGGATAAGAGTCTTGCTTGGGGGGCAGTACTATAGGCTACAAATGGAACCTCTGATGGCACAGTGAGAACCCCAGGGCCTTCACCCGTATCAGCAAGCACATAGTGCCAGTGCACTGCAGGAAAATGGGTCACAGATGACCCACCTCCTCACCCAAGATGCCCCCCTGAATTGCTACTGCAGCAAAATGGAGAAGTACTGTTTGGAGAATGACATGTCTTTCAACATTTTATTGTTGGTAATGCTCCTGAACATCCTTCTTTTATTGGTGATCTTCACCCCAGTACCATAGTAGTATTTCTCCATCCAAACACCACCTCTTTGATCCAGCCAGTGAATCAAGAAGTTACAGCAGTTTTTAAAGCCTTGACCTTTGCCCAGGCTATTGTTGCAACAAGAAAAAGTCTGAGAAGACACTAATGAAATTATAGAAGGATTATAATATCTATGACTTTGTGAAAACACCCTAGCTTAGGGTGAAGTCACCTAGCAGTGCGTGTAAGGCATCTGGAAGAAGACACTCAAGAGGTTTGTCCATGACTTAAAAGGATTTGCCAAGGATGAAGAGGTTGCAAAAATCAAGCAGGCTTTGGTTAGGATGGCAGCCAACCTTAACCTGGGTCTGGATCGAGATGACCCAGAGGGGCTCCTACAGGTGGCTCCTACAGGTGGCTCCTGAGGAGCTAATGAGGAGCCATTCGAACTGAAACAGGACCACACAGCTGAAAAAAAGACAAGAGAAAATGAAACTGAAAAAGAACTCCCAATAAACTTCACAGTGAAAGGTTTAGCAAAACTTGTGCAGACTTGAATAAGCTCCTTAAAAAGTTTGAGAACATGGACCCCAACACAGAAAGGTTCTCATAATAGGAATGTTCATGGTGCAGTATCTGCTAACCAGCAAGTCTAATGAAAAAAACAAACCAAGGAAAATTACCAAGGTCTGGAAAGAGTGAAACCTCCTCCTGAAGAGCCTCCAGTCCTTCATCAGGAGGAGTGCCAGAAGAAAGTGTCATGCCCTCAGAGCTGACAAGACAGCCCCAGGCATCGGAAGACCAGACCTTCTGATGCAACAAGATTTGGAGGTGAAAGACAGTGATATTGATGATTTCAACCCTGTGTAGGTCTAGGCTAATTGAATGTGTCTGAGCTTTTAACCAAAAAAGTTTTTTTTAAAGTGTTTTTAATAGAAAAGCTTATAGAACAAGTATATAAAGAAAAAAATTTTTTAATATAGCTATACAATGTGTTTATGCTTTCAGTGGTTATTATAAAAAGTCAAAGCATCTTAAAAACAATTTATAAAGTGAAAGGTATAGTAAGTTAAGATTAATTTATTAAACGATGCCCCAGCTGGTGTGGCTCTGTGGCTTGAGTGCTGGCCAGCAAATCATGGGATTGCAGGTTCAATTCCCAGTCTAGGGCACGTTCCTGGGTTGTGGGCCAGGTCCCCAGTAAGGGGTGTGTGGGAGGCAACCAGGCATTGATGTTTCTCTCCCTCTATCTCCCTTCTTCCTCCCTCCCTCCCTTAAAAATGAATTTTTTAAGTTTTTTTTTTCCATGAATTTAGTGTAGTCTACATGTATAGTGGTTTTTTAAGGTCTACAGTAGTAGATAGGAATGTCCTAGGCCTTCACATTTACTCACCACTCATTTACTGAGTTACCCAGAGCAACTTCAGTCCTGCAACCTCCATTCATGGTAAGTGTTCTCTATGTATAGGTATACCATTTTTTAAATCTTTTATACCATGTTTTTCCTGTACCTTTTCTAGGTTTAGATACGCAATACTTAACCGTTCTATTACGATTGTCTGTAGTATTCATTACAGTAACTTGTACAGGTTTTGTTGCTGAGGAGCAACAGGCTGTAAGTACCATATAGCTCAGGTGTATGGTAGGCTGCGTGTACCATCAGGTCTGGGGTGTTCACACGACGAAATGCCTTAATGATGTATTTTTCAGGACATACCTGTTCATAAAGTGATGCATGACTGTATTTCACATTTTCTTAGTGGTAGGGAAAACTAAGAGGAACTTTGTCTTTTGGTCATTGGACTAAAACTTCAAGTTTAAAAGTTAGAAATGTTGTTACTTAAAAATTCTGAAGCCCATTGTATACTAACACTCCCCTGCTCCCCAAAAAGGACTACTTCTGTTTTTAAAACCTTCAACATTCTGTTCATCTAGGTTATCCATCATTTTTCTATGTGTTGCAACCCTTGTTTTATGGGGAGAACCAGACTCATTCTTCAAGTTTTTTAATTTATGTTGATGCCACGCACCTCTGTGGGAGGCGGGGGTTGGTGGCTCTATAAGATAGCAGTGACAGAGAGGTGTGACTTAAACTTTTACAAATTGGAGTTAAAAACTGAGTGCAAAGCACTAGGAATACCAACAAGTATTGTTAGGTGAAGCTATGACATACATAGAGGAAGTTAATGGGTAGCATTTCCTATTCTGCAGGGAGAACTGACTGTTGATTCAAACTTTATCATCATTATCTATTTCAGTAGGGATTATAATTCTGGATTATTGATCTCTTCATCTATTGGAACTTGCCAGGGAGTTAGTACTTTTAAATTTTTCCTCAGAAATTTGATTGATACTAATTCCCCAGAAAATGGTATTAACCACAGTCTTAGTATAAAAAAGCTTCCAAGTGGGACACATTACTCAATTTTTTGAATCCCAGAGTCTTATATTCCAAACACTAAAGAAAGGTTGAGATTTAAGGAAAAGCACACTATTTCATTTTGATGGAAACCAGTATCTAAAGTAGATTTCCAGGGAGAAAAGGTCATCTCTGGCCAATCTTGTGTTTTCCCCTGTCCTCATCAAAAAAGGCCAACAACATGAGTGGTAACAATGAGCAGAGTGCTTCTGGCTTTTTGTAGCACTGTGGGCTCCTCACAGTCTATAAGATATTATTTAAATTCTTAATTTGAGTCAAAGAAGCTGCCAACTTCATTACTTCTTTGAAAAGGTTAAAGTTGCTCTTGGTTAAGAAGGGATAGCATGACTTGTAGAAGAAAGTCTACTTTTCAAATCAGTGTTTGGATCAGCACTGAAATCTGAATACTATACTAGACTTCTGTCATAGGAAAAAATGTTTGAGATTTTTGAGGATGGGCCCTTTTGTGTGGAAACTTTCCCATGATGGGAAGGATAAAAGCTGTATCTTTATATTTTATTGCCTAATTGTCCTGCAACTGTGGGCTATGAATTTTACCATATAAAATCTGAAGCCATGCTGAATCACAGTGAAAGTGATTGCACATAGTTTGTTCTCATCGTTTCTAACTGTAGAATGTTGTATCTTGAAGCCATTTGTCTTTGGTTTGTCTAAAACTAGTCAGAAAATGGGACTGTGGTCTTTTCTAAGCACTGAGGAAGAACTTAGAATTGAGTTTTTTATTTATACTGTGGGATTCAAAAGTATTTCATTTAAAACAGCTTTCTCACTTGAGTATATTTCATGAATTTATTTTGCAAAAGAAAAAAAAATCAGTGCTTTAGAGAGCTTAAGTTCTCAAAGTAAGTGGTCTGTTAAGAACAGAGAATGCCTGAATGAAAACCTAGAACCTGCCACTGCCTGTCTGGCGGCATCTGACCCCAGCTCTCGTCTTCTCTTTAGGACTACCGGACAAAACCCTTCTGCTGCAGCGCGTGTCCGTTCTCCTCGAAATTCTTCTCTGCCTACAAAAGTCACTTTCGGAATGTCCACAGTGAAGACTTTGAAAACAGGATTCTCCTTAATTGCCCCTACTGTACCTTCAATGCAGACAAAAAGACTTTGGAAACACACATTAAAATATTCCATGCTCCAAACGTCAGCGCACCAAGTAGCAGCCTCAGCACTTTCAAAGATAAAAGCAAAAATGATGGCCTTAAACCTAAGCAGGCTGACAGTGTAGAGCAAGCTGTTTATTACTGTAAGAAGTGCACTTACCGAGATCCTCTTTATGAAATAGTTAGGAAGCACATTTACAGGGAACATTTTCAGCATGTGGCAGCACCTTACATAGCAAAGGCAGGTGAAAAGTCGCTCAACGGTGCTGTGCCCCTAGGCTCGAATGCCCGGGAAGAGGGAAGTATTCACTGCAAGCGATGCCTTTTCATGCCAAAGTCCTACGAAGCTTTGGTACAACATGTCATCGAAGACCATGAACGCATAGGCTACCAGGTCACTGCCATGATTGGGCACACAAATGTGGTGGTTCCCCGATCCAAACCTCTGATGCTGATTGCTCCCAAACCTCAAGATAAGAAGGGCGTGGGACTCCAGTCAAGAATTGGTCCCCTTGCTTCTGGAAATGTCCGATCTTTGCCTTCACAGCAGATGGTGAATCGACTCTCAATACCAAAGCCTAACTTAAATTCTACAGGAGTCAACATAATGTCTAATGTTCACCTACAGCAGAACAATTATGGCGTCAAATCTGTGGGGCAGGGCTATGGTGTCGGTCAGTCGATGAGACTGGGCCTGGGTGGCAGCGCGCCCGTTTCTGTCCCTCAGCAGTCTCAGTCTGTGAAGCAGTTACTTCCAAGTGGAAACGGGAGGGCTTACGGGCTTGGGTCGGAGCAGAGGTCCCAGGCACCAGCAAGATACTCCCTGCAGTCTGCCAATGCCTCTTCTCTCTCATCAGGCCAGTTAAAGTCGCCTTCCCTCCCCCAGCCACAGGCATCCAGAGTATTAGGTCAGTCCACTTCCAAACCTACTGCTGCCGCCACAGGCCCTCCCCCTGCCAATACTTCCTCAACCCAGAAGTGGAAAATATGTACAATCTGTAATGAGCTTTTTCCTGAAAACGTCTACAGTGTGCACTTCGAAAAAGAACATAAAGCTGAGAAAGTCCCGGCAGTAGCCAACTACATTATGAAAATACACAATTTTACTAGCAAATGCCTCTACTGTAATCGCTACTTGCCCACAGATACCCTTCTCAACCACATGTTAATTCACGGTCTGTCTTGTCCGTACTGCCGGTCAACATTCAATGACGTGGAGAAGATGGCAGCGCACATGAGGATGGTTCACATTGACGAGGAGATGGGACCTAAAACAGATTCTACCTTGAGTTTTGATTTGACATTGCAACAGGGTAGTCACACTAACATCCATCTCCTTGTGACCACTTACAACCTGAGGGATGCGCCAGCTGAATCTGTTGCTTACCACGCCCAGAACAACCCTCCAATCCCCCCAAAGCCACAGCCAAAAGTTCAGGAAAAAGCAGATATCCCTGTTAAAAGTTCACCTCAAGCTGCGGTGCCCTATAAAAAAGATGTCGGGAAAACCCTTTGCCCTCTTTGCTTTTCAATCCTAAAAGGACCCATATCTGATGCACTTGCACATCACTTACGAGAGAGGCACCAAGTTATTCAGACAGTTCATCCGGTGGAGAAAAAGCTCACCTACAAGTGTATCCATTGCCTTGGTGTGTATACCAGCAACATGACCGCCTCAACTATCACTCTGCATCTGGTTCACTGCAGGGGTGTGGGAAAGACCCAGAACGGCCAGGATAAGACGAATGCACCGTCTCGGCTCAATCAGTCACCAGGACTGGCACCTGTGAAGCGCACTTATGAGCAAATGGAATTTCCCTTGCTGAAAAAGCGAAAGTTAGAAGATGATAGCGACTCGCCTGGCTTCTTTGAAGAGAAGCCTGAGGAGCCTGTTGTTTTAGCATTAGACCCCAAGGGTCACGAAGATGATTCCTACGAAGCCAGGAAAAGCTTCCTAACAAAGTATTTCAACAAGCAGCCCTATCCCACCAGGAGAGAGATTGAGAAGCTGGCAGCCAGTTTATGGCTGTGGAAGAGTGACATTGCTTCCCACTTCAGTAACAAGAGGAAGAAGTGTGTCCGAGACTGTGAGAAGTACAAGCCTGGTGTGTTGCTGGGCTTCAACATGAAAGAATTAAACAAAGTGAAGCACGAGATGGATTTTGATGCTGAGTGGCTATTCGAAAATCATGATGAGAAGGATTCCAGAGTCAATGCTAGTAAAACTGCTGACAAGAAGCTCAACCTTGGGAAGGAAGATGACAGTTCCTCAGACAGTTTTGAAAATTTGGAAGAAGAATCTAATGGAAGTGGCAGCCCTTTTGACCCTGTTTTTGAAGTTGAGCCTAAAATCTCTAACGATAATCCAGAGGAGCACATACCGAAGGTAATTTCTGAGGATGCTTTCGAGTCTGAGGAGAAGCTAGACCAAAAAGAGGGAGAGGGTTCCAAATTTGAAACTCTTCATTTGACTGAGGAACCAAGCAAACTAATGCATGAAGCTTCTGATAGCGAGGTCGACCAAGAGGATGTCGTAGAGTGGAAAGACGGTGCTTCTCCGTCTGAGAGCGTCCCTGGCTCCCAACAGGTGTCAGACTTGGAAGACAACACGTGTGAAGTGAAGCCAGGAACCTGGTCCGATGAGTCTTCCCAGAGCGAAGACGCAAGGAGCAGTAAGCCAGCTGCCAAAAAAAAGGCTACCATGCAAGGTGACAGAGAGCAGTTGAAATGGAAGAATAGTTCCTATGGAAAAGTTGAAGGGTTTTGGTCCAAGGACCAGTCACAGTGGAAGAATGCATCTGAAAATGATGAGCGCTTATCCAACCCACAGGTGGAGTGGCAGAATAGCACAATTGATAGTGAGGATGGGGAGCAGTTTGAGAGCATGGCTGACGGCGTGGCTGAGCCGATGCATGGCAGCTTAACCGGAGTTAAACTGAGCAGCCAGCAGGCCTAGGTGCCAGGGCCTCTGGCATTGTACGTGCTGCAGCCTGGACTTCAGTTCTCCTTTGAGTATGACTGCAAAACTACTCTTAACTGGTACGGCCTTCCGAGCGCTGGGTCCTCAAGCTCTGCGGACCTGTGGCCGCTGCGACCCCAATGGTTACTTCTGTGCCAGGTGATCTTGCTTCAGAACTTGCTGTGACACAGTAACTCAGTGTGAAAAACCAGTAAGCTGGTGGCTCACATATGCACATGAGAAAAAGCAAAGGTTTATTTTATCTGCCTTCTCAACATTTCTTTCCCTCTGTAAAATGTTTGGTTGGATGTCCTTAAGAAGTGTTCTGATTCGCATGGTAGCGTAGGGCCAACATACAAGCTACCAGTGCGACGTGTACAGTAGACTTCGGGGAAGTTTGGTTTTTTTCATGTATTCATTCTGAATAGTTGAATTGTATATTTGTACAGTCTTTTAGACCTATTCAAGTGATGCTTATGATATTGTTACTGTGTACCCATCATAGGTTTTTTTTAGTGTTGCCCTTGCTGTGTAATAAACGCTGTATCTAGTTTACCTAGCAAAGCCTGAAACGACGCTAGTATGGACTTTTGAACAGACTTAGTTTTTGCACATAACCTTGTACAATCTTGCAACAGAGGCCAGCCACGTAAGATATATATCTGGACTCTCTTGTATTATAGAATTTTTCTTGTTCTGAATATTCTTGACATTACTGCTGACAAACAAAAACCGGTATTTCAGGACCCGTTTTCTGAAATCTTTTAAGCTAAAATCACATGCAAGAATTGACTTTGCAGCTACTAATTTTGACACCTTTTAGATCTGTATGAAAGTGTTGTGTTGACGCAGCAGACCAACGCGTGCTGCATTTTGGATATTTAGTTTTATCTTTAGTTAAACACCACCTGGTGTATTCATTTATACCATCTAATATATGACACACTGTTGTAGTATGTATAATTTTGTGGTCTTTATTTCCCTTTGTATTCATTTTAAGCATCTAAATAAATTGCTGTATTGTGCTTAATGTAAATACTCGCTTTATTACACATTACAGTCCGTGTCCATGAGTCTGTCTTGTGCCATTTGGTGCCGTGGCTCCCCTTCATCAGGCAGGGAAGCCACAGCCACCGAGGACGCCTGTGGAAGACCATGGTCTGCCACTGACATAAAGATCTCTCTTGTGGCACCTGTTAACATTCTTTTGGTTTTATCTTTTTCCTTTTTATCTGCTAAAATAAACATCCTTGAGTTTTTTAGTTCCCCTTTTGTTAAGGAGCAGGAACTTGCTTACATATGTAAATGTTCAATGATAAAAGGATAAGAACATAAGTTGACATTAATTTGCAAGCAGAATCTTAATGCCCCAGTGTCCTTTCTTCTAAATGAAATGAATGTTACTTTTCACCTTATGGGAACAATTGTACTGAACAGGTAAAACTACTCTGTTATACAAACTCTCTTGACCATCTTGCTATGAAGAAAAAGGCTTTGGAGATCACACGTTGGGAGGGCTTTCACAATGGAAGGAATTGGTCTATTTTACTATGCAAGGATTCCCAAGAGCAACTGATACTAAAGAACAGTGAGTTACAAGGAGGTAGTATTAGCCAGCATTTTCAGCAATTATAACAATGATGGGATCCTCCGATCCATGCAGGGATATTGGCCTAAACTAAGAGTTATGAAGTGGATGGTTTCCATAATTTCTAAGACTCCAAAAGATTCATCTTGTTAATGCTTTTGTTGCCTGAGTAGAAATTGAAGCAACCTCCTTCTAAAACGTTCAAGCTACTCAATACAGGAGAAAGCATAAGAGAATCTTAAGGCTACTCGGGGTTGGCATGAGGTTAAATTCCGTTACTGTTAGGTTATAAGTTCTGTGGACACCAGCTAATAATTAGGACAGACTGTCCCCAAATACCAAATTAAAATAGCATTGGGAAGGATAGTGGTATTAGCTGAATTTAAGCCATCTCACATTTGTTTTGAAATTGCTCTGCCTAATTAACAGGTGGGAAGAATTGGGCCTGGGCTTTTTAGTCCTACGTGGAGTACTAATGAGGGGTGTGCAGAATAGCCCGGGGTGGTAGGGGGGAGCAGAAACCTGTGAATGCTTCCTTGCTGGGGTGGTGGGAGTGGACCTTGTCAACATTCAGAAAAGAGTTTAACCACCTGAGAAGTGGACCTAATGAAAATGTTGCAGAAGCCCTAAAAGTGTCTCAATAAAAGCCATTTTTATTAAAAGAAAGCTGTTGCTACTGTTTGCTTTTGGAATGATCTGAAAATAAAAGCTGTGGCAAGCTGCTACCTGCTGGGTAATTAGAGAATATAACTGGAATTTGAGCAATTCTGTAGATGTTCTTTTTAACAAGGAAAAACAATTCCAGGGAACTGGTTGTCCTTCAAACTTCTTGTGGCCGTGATTCCAGGGTCAGACTGATGCACTTGGTCTCTCTCCCCTTCCAGCACTCCAGAGCATTGTCTTTGTCCCTCTTTGAGATCCAAGCTGTGGCATATCTGTGCCTTTTATCCCCTGTAGTTGTGTGTGTGGTCCAAATGCCTGCCTGTTTGTAAAACGCACCATTTCAGAAGAGAACGGATGAGTGCCAGATCTGAGAACAGTCAAGCGAAGACGGGAGTGCCCATCCGAAACACTTCACTACAAGCCATTAAAGTGGCTCTTGCCAAGTGAGCATTGCCACATGGGTGTTTCCCCTACTTCCACTGTAGGCTGCCAGCACCCGACCCTCCAGGGGGGCCCCAAGTCATCTCTAGGTGATTCTGCCACTAAAACTTGAGAACCACTTAGGCCGAGTGATGAGAAGTGTATTCCTTACTAATGAAGTTTAGTAGGACAATTATATTGGGCATCATGTGAGCCTTCTGCCCCTTCCCTCAGCAGTGGACTTTCCTACCCATTGTGACCCTCATTTCTTACCTACCCCAGTTGCTCATTGGGTTGGCACCAGCTGCAGGCATGTTTCGCCAATGTGTCATGTAAAAACAAACCCCCCCGGAAGACACAATAAAAGGAAGAGGCAGCACCCACCAGTGTGAAATGCTGTTCCAACTATCAGTCAGCCACCATACGGTGTTCTAGAAAAAGCCTTTCAGCTGCGATGAACTCTCAACAGTCAAATTAGGAGGTAAAAACAAGGCCTCCACCAGCTACCACTGGGAGATGAGCTTGAAAACATCCCAACTTGCACCAAAGGAGGGTCACCCTTTGGTGATCCTTTGTGTCCTGCTACTTCCCATTCACTGTCGCAAATCCAGTGGGGACTGGGTGCAAAAGCCAGCACACAGGGTGAAAACTGCATGTCCTGAAAATCCTTCAGTTGTAGTTTCAAAGTGCCCCAACTAAGGACCCAGGCGGGGGAGGTTTATAGTCATTTCCAGGACAGATGCCCTACGAACAGAATGAAGGGCAGCGTCTTTGGTTCTATTTAAATGAGTTGTGGCCGGGGTGTGTGTTTCAGAACACAATGTTTGTGCATCTGAGACAGGAACCAATTGCCTGCCCTCCCCCCGCCCCGCCTCCCCAGTACACCATCAGGTCTTAGATGTACAGCCATTTTGACCCAAACTGGTTTTTGCGATAAAAATCTTGTATACTCGTCTCATTACTAAATGAATCAAAACAGATATCCTAATAAGTTAATTGTTCACCTTTTCTAAATTGATAAAGCGGCTGGAAGAAAAACGCTTTTCTGATGTCCTAAATGGCAGCTCAGTCTCGGCTCCATCTAGCCTGAGGCGCAGAGTTGTGATGCTGGGTAAGGCAAGCAGCCATCTGGGCGCCTAGGAGTGCAGCGACCCCGCAGCATGCCTTGGAGCCTGCAGCATAACCTGCTGGTGGCTGCGTCTGCCAGCACAGCTCTGTGGGCTTCTCTGGGAAGACAGCGCCCAGAGGCTCAAAACTCAGAGCCCTGTCCTCCAAGGATGGGACAGCCAGGCCAGCGGCGTGACTACACCTCCCCTAGGAATGTGACATTGTTCCTAAAGACACCTGGAGCTCACATCCTGCCCGAACATCATGGAAGTGTTCTGGAACTAGCCACAGGGCACTAGATTCCAAGGTAATTTGAGTCCTCAGAACAGGCCAGCCCAGCCCCACCCCAAATAAAAGTCCTGTAAGGGAAGTATTAGCGCCAGGTGTAAAGACACGAAGGCTCGGAGAGGCCCTCTCAAACCCAGGCCATCCGAGCCCAGACACCCGGATACACAACCACACCACGCAGCCCTGGTCCTGGCTGAAGACTAGCCTGGAAAGAAAGGCTGCCAGCTGTGAACGCAAAGACAAATGAGCCCCCCGTTTCTAAACCAACACAGTCCCTGGCACAGCGTTTCCAAACAACACTCGTTCACGCTGTCGTCTTCATCATTTTTGCCCCATCTGCCTAGGAACTGCTTTATGTACTTAGTACAGTTCAAGTCGCCTTTTTGAAAAGGAAACGCTACCCAAAAAAGGGCGGGGAGGGGGACAACCAGTATAATTTGGCATTTAGTAAAAGCCCTCATCCATAAAGAGAGATCAGAGAGACCAAGCATTACACTAAATTTTTGCCACCTGTAACTGCTTGCTGAGCTCTGTGAACCTGAGACTGGCTCTGTTTGTTAAAAAGGAGAATGGGCCCCAGCCGGTGCATCCAGGTGGGCATTACCCCGCAAAGCAACAGGTCACCGGTTTGATTCCCAGTCACCACACATGCCTGGCTTCTGGGTTCGGTCCCAGGTCAGGGCACGTAAAAGTGGCAACCGATCAATGTTTCTCTCTCCTTCTCCCTCCCCCTCTCTCTAAAAATAAAGAAAATCTTTAAAATATATTCATGAAATGTTTTTAAACATGTTTCCTATTTTTTTAAAGGAAAATCAGAGGGGTTCAGGACACACTAGCATCAAAACGAGAACTTCTCCTTGGCCCAAGAGCCTTAGATCCCTCTCAGTGTGGCTTGTGTCACCTAAAGCAAGCCAGTGACACCCAACTTTAAGTCACAAGTTGCAAACACAAGGCCCATGGGCCGAATCCGGCCCGGCACCTTGTTTCTACCGGACGGCAGCCCTGAGCTCTCACTGAACTGCTAAGCAGTAGTTACATCTGCACAGCCCTAAAACTGCATTTGGCCCTTTGAAGGCAACCTCAGTGCCAATGTGGCCCCTGGTGAAAATGAGTTTGACACCCACTGCTCTGAGTAAAAGATGGCTCTGGTCCAGATTGCTTCCCAGGGAAGTCTGTGATTACCTAATTCTGGCTTTAGACTCCTTTTTTATGAAACGAGTCTCACTGGCAGATAACAGGAATTCTAACTAAGACTGGGCCTAATAACGGGGCACACAGATAACCCACTGTGGCTGAGTAGGGGCAGGCTGCTCAGTGACATCAGCGAGGGCTCAGGTCCTCTGTCCTTTCATCCTGACACCCACGTGGCCACCTGCATCCTTGGCAGGCACCCTGGTAATCACTGGGCACTTCGTCCACCTTCCCTGAGAGCGCTTCCGTTCCTCCTATTGAAAAAGACTCTTCAACTCAGAGCCAACCGGACCATTTCAGAACAAATTTCTGCGGCCAGTGGTTCAGGCCAGAGCTACCTTGGTGAGCTGCTGCGCTAGGATGACCTTGATTGGCCTACATCAGTCGGCACACATCTCTGGACCTGGGGTGGAATCTGACAGACCTAGGCAGGCCTAGGAGGAATGGAAAATCACCAGGCGGGAAAACTGTACTGCGGGAAACTGGCCTGGGAAAATGCCTGCGGACCGTACCCAGGACACACAGAGGCCCGGCTGAGATTGGGGTCTGGGGTCGGCCTGTCCAGCATAACAGGATGCAGCTTTAACTAGAGCCTGACAAGATGTAGCAAGGACAATGGTCAGCAGAAATGGCACCCAGCAACCGGCTCTAGCCAATCAGACTCTGACGCCCCAACAACTGAGCAAGTCTTCACCTCCCTTGGTTGGCTGGCTCCCCAACCTCCCTAGGTCAGCCCCACTTTCCCTCTTACTCCCCCCTAATAAACCCTGCTC